CATTAGCTTGACCGCGCAGTGCCCCAAATTTGCAGTAAGAGGACCGACCAAGCCTCTTCTTCCATCTCCCTGTTACAGGAATCACTGCCATATCCATACAAATTGTACAGAATGTCCAGGATAGTTTTCCATGGACAAATGTTGTCGCCTGTTGAACGAGGTGACCTTGCCCGGGTCCCAGGTGTACGGTTCCTAAAATGGCTGCCATATACACGTCCACTGATAGGAGACGCGGAAGGTATTAAACTGATCAGAACAATACTAAACACACCACAAATAAGGTTTTTCTCCTGTATGGCTCCTCAAATGATGCTTAAGATTAGAAGCGGCTGAAAAGCATTTCTCACACTCCGAACAAAAATATTTTTTTTTAACATTCTCTCCACTTTGAACGAAATGACGTTTGGGAAGAGATTAACATAACTAAACACAGGCAGTAAAAATACAGTTTTTAGCCATACCCTGTAACTTTAAAACTACACATCCCATCTTCATAATTACATATTTGGAATCAGCACACTTAAAACATAAAACATAACCAAAAATCAGCCAAATCCATCCAGGGGTTAAAAAGTTAGCTGGAGGTCCCTTTATGACCGACCGCAAGCACATTTTCCTGCCCAAAACAGTTCCATAGATTTGGGCTGTGAGGTCGGTCCATTTCAGGCTGAAAAAACGACTAAGTCCCATCGCCGAATGGGACCAAGTAGCCGAAATAATTTCCCATTTCCACTGTCCAAGTGGGAAATAGCAAGGCAGGCACAAAGGGTTTGCACCAGGTCTGGGGACACAGGGGACACCGTCTTAAAGGGGCCGTGTCCCCAACAAGTCTGGGGACACGGCCTTAAAAGGGCAGTGTCCCAATCTTCCTGATGTCCCAAAAAAGGTGTTTAAAGGGCCAGCACCAGTCACATAAAGAGTCCATAAGCCCCAATATGCCCACTGACAGTCTTAAAGGGCCATACACACCAAATAAAAGTGCATACATTTTCACAATCTCCCAGGGGCCATAGTCATGCGGGAGGAGGCTGGCAAATAGGCTTCTCCCCAACCCACAAGCAATTTGCTATTTAAAGCGTCTGCTAAATAGCAGTTTGTAACAAGGTGTCAATCCATATCTGCCAAGGACCATGTAGGGGACCAGTCCCTATTCTGCTCTGTGTCAGTGTATCAGGGAACCTTAGACAGGTGTCAATCCATACCTGCCAAGCTTTGACCCATGTAGGGGAACAGTACCTATTCTGCTCCTGTGTCAGTGTGTATCAGGGATCCTTAGGACAGGTGTCAATTCATATCTGCCAAGTGACCCTATGTAGGGGGACCAGTCTCTATTCTGCTCTGTGTCCGCGTGCATCAGGGGCTCTGAGGACAGGTGTCAATCCATATGTCAAGGTGTCAATATGTCATATGTCAGGTGTCAATCCATATTGATTGTGATTTAGGAATGTTAGGTGATTTCTGCCCCTTATGGATTAAAACCAGACTCTGTATCAACTGTGTAATTTTCCATGGGAGTTTTGCCATGGATCCCCCTCCGGTATGCCACAGTCCAGGTGTTAGTCCCCTTGAAACAACTTTTCCATCACTATTGTGGCCAGAAAGAGTCCCTGTGTTTTAAAATTCGCCTGCCCATTGAAGTCAATGATGTCATCGGGTTCATGTAACATTTTCATGGAAAGTTCACAGCCAGCCGCTCACAGTAAAATTTCGGGTTCGCTGACATTCGTTTACCACAACAAGAGGACATAGTCTTAAATTAGAGGGACAAAGGTTTAAAAATAATACCAGGAAGTATTACTTTACTGAGAGGGTAGTGGATGCATGGAATAGCCTTCCAGCTGGAAGTGGTAGAGGTTAACACAGTAAAGGAGTTTGCCATGCGTGCCAGGCATAAGGCTATCCTAACCATAGATAAGGCTAGGACTAATGAAAGTATTTAGAAAAATTGGGCAGACTAGATGATGGGCTCTAATGGTTCTATCTGCCGTCACATCCCCATATGTTTCTATGTTTCTATGAAGCTCTCATTCAATACACCTACACTGCAAGTTTTAACTCAGGTGCGCTAATGTAAGTAAAAAAAATTGAGGGATGCTGTGTAACCTGAACCTTTGGCCCAGTCTTTTTTACATACATCTCTTTTTAGATAACAAAAAAAAAAAACACTTTAAGGAGTCCAGACCCACTCACTGATGCTGTTATTCATTAACATCCCTGGAAAACCGAGCAATATGCAGACCTGTCTTTTAGGAAATACAGGATCTGTCATTCCAATGGAAAGCTTGTAGGTGACATCTAAAACCTTAGTAAACTAATCATGTGGCTTATATGGAGCTCTATATAAAAAAAAAAAAATGGGGCATTTTTGTATTTCCTAAAACCTTGGCATGATTAATTGTACAGATTCTAAGCAGCATCAATAAACGGTAGAGGAAATTGCAAAAAAAAATAAAAAATGCAACATGTTTTGTTTTGTTTTTTTCAAATACAAACTTTTCTTTATTCCATGCAAATAGTTTTTAATATTTTTGTATTATTTTTTTATTGGGGCACTGTCCAACATCCATTTATGTTTCGACACCTAGGCACATTTAAAGGAAAGCCTTTCACACATCTGACAGTTCCTTACTCACCTTTCCTCTATAGGGTGCACCTGGCTGAAAATAGGACTTTGAGTCTTTGAATGAAATCTTGGTGAGTTGGGAGGAAACATCACATTGTTGAGACGTGGCATTTATTGTTATTCCTGTGGGTCACATTAGGAAATGTTACATTAGTTTCTTGGCTCTATATTATACTATACAGTTTCCCCATATATGTGTTCAGAAGTAACTGTTATTTGCAAAGCAAATGTTAATCAGAGTTCAGTAAATTAGAAAGTTTATGTTTGTCTTGTGTAAATCTAGATGATGTGTTATGCACCATTTACCTTTGATGCAGAACTAATCACTGACCATAAAATTGAACTTTAATTAATGGATTAGTAATCCTCTTTTGTCTTTTGTCTTCCACTGTTAATTTTGTCACATAATACATCAATTTGCCTCAATTTCACCAGACATTGTTTCTTCCCCAATCTGCCATTCTCCTCTTCACTCAACATTTATGTTTCTTTTTAGATCTCCAAGAAACTTCATGCCATTAAACCTTCTATTTCTAACAGATAGACACTATATTTATTTACCTATTCAGTGAAAGGAAGATTTTTCCGCTGCTTTGGTTTGAACCAGAGCCCATGCACCCTTTGGGGTTAGTTACATACCTTGATGATTTGTTGTGACTATTTATTTATTTTTTCATCAATTTTCCCTCCTTTCCTAACTTCTAAATTCACCCTTTTCTCACCTGTTCCTTCTTCCTCCAGAAAAGCCTCCACCACCAGCTTTCTGTCATAATTTGAATTCCGTATCTGGAATTTGGAGAGGTCCACAGTGGATTTCAGGCATCCAGAATGGTCATTCTAAAGAGAGGAGAAAGCTCATCCTTCAAAACATTGTGTGGGGTAAAAAAGTTGCTACTTCAGTCTCTAAAAGTCTGTCCTAAATCTCCTAGTCTTGATTAGATGAAGAATTAAAGACATACCGTGCATGTGATATAACGTGTCTCCTAAAAATCTGTGTAATGCTATAACTATGTGTGCAGAGGAAGACACTAGATCATAACTATTTTATATTATATATTAAATAGTGTTAAAACTGTCCATTCCTGATACAAACTCAAGTTTTACTGTAGATTTGGATTCTTGCTCAGGATTGAAATGTGTCTATTCCAGTCTTCTCTTAGATCATATTAACGCCTACCATGTCTACTGGAATGCTTCTTTTCTTACTGAAATATAAACTGGAAGTCAGCCATTACTTTCTCTTCTTCTAATTTAAGATTATATTCCCTTCAAACTATGCTCGATGTTTGAACAACCATCTTGAACTACATTGTACAATAGCACTTTTCACTTTTTTTTGTCTATTCTGCTCTGTTAGTCAGACTGTCACATCCTCTCTTGTATTAAGTTCATTTTTACTCACTTTCAATTATTTTGTTACTTCTCTTAAACAACAATCCCAACTTACAACTCTGTTCCCATCTCTCACCTTGGCTGTATGAAGATGACAAACATCATTTTCTCCCTCTTTATTTTCTCCATCTTGACTGGAAGGTCCCCACCTCCTCCAATAGGACCCCCAACACTTTTGGCATATTTTGAAAGTCACAGTGCCTGGAACTGGTTGTCCAAATGTATACCTGATATACACATTGGGAAATTACACTTGGACTGTTCCTTAACAATTCCCTAATTATACCATCTGAGAAACATTTAAACCTGTTCCAATCAGCTCACTCTGTTAACCATACCTGTTCTTTCTGTGTTACCACAAATTTGCTTCTAGTACTTCCCAGAGTATCCTGGGTGCACTAATACCTGGCACAGATGTCTCACCTGGCACATGTTGTCACTGTCATATTTGAGTCAAGAACTGTGATGGATGGTGGAGCTTGAAGACTCACTTCAAATTTAGGAAGCACTGAAGATAGAAGAAGACAAGATGCAACTGCAGGGTTAGTTGTTACATGTTATACTGAAAGTTGAGATCATGTAAAGAAAGAACTCTGAAGAAAAAAACAAGTTAGATGATGGGTGAATCGTAGTGAATTACAGAGAATGGATGAGTGTGTAGGAGGGTACAAAAGAAAGTGTTGGAGAATATGGTATGGGCTGTAAAGAACTGGTCATCATGCAATAGAATGGAGAAAGAGGAAGACTAGGAGATGCAGCAACAATCAAGTAGTTCAAATTATCTACAGAAGTTAAATGTTTTGCAACACATCAGATTTTAAATCACATTTTACATCAAATTATATACAAATATATGCATCCACATGATAGAGCAATATAGATTTTGTGAATCTCTCACTTTCTCTTTTTTATAGTGCTGCTTTTATTGTAATAGCAAAAACATAATAATTTAATGAAAGCACTCCTTTCTTTCCATCTGTGGATTTATAATCTGAATAATTCTATTTATTTTTTTCCACTTGCCATACTCCTCTACAGTGAAGACGTGGTTTATTAAATCAGTTTTGATGTTATAAGTTCCCAGGGCAGGCTCAGGAGACAGCTGAAATGAGAGGTCCACAATGCCACTGTTGGGGACGACATCTTTCCATTGAGCCAGGCGATTCCTCTGTGGGTCCTTTCGCAAACAACATGAATAAACATTCAACATTACAAACAGTGGTACTCTGTGTGTACACTGCATGGGTTTGATGTCAAGTTTTCCATGTATACTATAAGTTTATTTAAGATCTGTCATAATTCATTGTTTATTAAGAATACTCTTCACTGCACTGGATGTACTGATGTGGATAGTGTACCAAAAGCTGTCAATCTCTTTGTCTTTTCAGCCTCCTCCCCATCATTAAAAAGGTTAAAATATAGTTTCTGTACTCATACCGACTCCAGCACCAATATCCTTCGGCGCTGGGTCAGTGCTCTGCCTCCTCCAACATCCCCAGATCAGGGAGGGCTACTGCACAGCAAACACATTAAGCACTCCCATAGAAAAGCATTACTATTTTGATATTGCTTACTATTTTGATATTTTAGTTTTTTATAAATTATATATTTTTAGAAATGTTAATAATTAAAAAGAAATATTAAAAAACTTTATTATATTTGAAATGCCAGACATCTACATAAAATACCAGCAGCCCTAAAGGTGCATGCTCTCTCTTCTTCTCTCCTAAGTCTTGTCAATGAGGAATGTCTGGCTATCATACAGTCAGGAATTTGGCCATCTTTGTAAGGTCAGATAATGTTACACAGCGATCTTGCCCAGATAAAGTAACATCTAATATAAAATGTCTGGTTATTCCTTGCTCTCCCTCAGACATCCCAACCTCTTTCCATTTCTTCATAAAATAATTAAAAATATATAAAAATAAAAGTTATCAGATAGTCTCTTCTAGGCATGCACACCTTAAACTTTCTCCTTTTTTCTGATCTATTTACACTTTCACAATTTCTTTTATTTCCCACCTTCTGTTTCAGATATACTGTGTTATCAGTAATGAAACTCATAAAACTAAATGCGTAGAGACACAACATTGTTGAATAACAACAATAAAAGTATCAAATCATCAGTGTACAAGGTGTTAAATTGGCTAAACACAAGACTTTGGCAAACCATTTTAGGGGAAATTCATTTTTATAGAGATTTACATTATATTTACAGGATTCTATTTTTAAGAGAAGATAATTTCGTGTTGGCATCAATTTACTTATGTAGCATTAAGGTTAGATTGATTAGACAGCACTCACCTGTAACTCGATCAATGGATACTGACAAAAAGAGACACAGACAGAGTGAAATTGTCAGACAAGTAGGAAACATACTGATCATAAAAACAAACTGTTACTTTACTTTGATTCAATGACAAAAAGAACCCTAATTTAATTGTCTTAATTATATTGTTTTGAAATAAAGCCTACACATTAGATTGTGCATTGAGTTGTATGTATAAAATTTAGGCCTCCAATTTTGATATTGTAAGCCTGCAGATAACCATAAACAGTGGACGGTAAACAATAAACAGTAGTAAATAATATAAAATAATTTTACTTATGCATTGTTCTTTGCAAGTAATGTGGGTTTCAATCACATATGTGTTCTATGCAGAGGGGAGGAAGTTTGATAACATCTAGACTGGCAAAATCTCACAAAATGTAAATGCACCTTTCTTGGTTAAATATTTTTATTTCATTATTCTCTTTATTAATATTTATTTAATTGATAAATTACTTATTAAACATGCAATATTAGCAGTTCAAAAAGCTAAAAGTCAATCAGGTTGAAATAGTGAATGGATTTAAGCACGGCAATAAAAACACAAGGACTTTAAAAATATATATATTTATGTTGATTATCATGAGAAACCTAGTACGATTTTGTTGGTGGGTACATTTTTAACCTCCCCCTATTCCACCTTGATCATCAAGAGGAAGTGACTTAAGTTGCTCACCTTCTCATTGCTTGTCTCCAAATCCTGACTGAGGGTAACGATCCGGAAATTTACTATGGAGAAGAGAAAGACACAAGGTTAATGAATCATTTATTCCATAACACAGACTATCCATGTCCAACTTGGAAGGAGTTGTGGGTTTGTCGAATTGTTCTATTTAATACATTGTTCTAAAACATTTATGGGAAAAATATATATTAATGAAAGAGCATAATACATTTGGGGCACAATAACTGAGTTGCTATTGTTTATTTTTATTTATTAGTTGTTTTGTGCAATCCCTTTTGGATTTCTTCCAGCAGGGGACATCTGTAAGACACCAAAAGACACAAAGACCTAGAGGCAATGCTTTTAAGTAGCTTTTCTAGAACACAGTATTAATAAGGTATAAAGGTTAAATGTGAGATGATATGAACGGTTATTTTAAACATAGATCTGCTCAGAATCGGTACACATCTGAGGATTTTTTTTTTTAATAAAAGGAAAATGTTTATTGAAAACACATCCATGCAAAAACAAAAACAAAAACACCAAGTTATCAAAAAACTAAAACATAACTAAACTATATTTTAAATGAATACCTACATTTCCAATACAAAACTACAAAAATAAAAAAAATTGCTGTTAACATAATTTGCAAAGATAAACACTATTCTTTATCATTAGCCAAATAATAAGCTTTTCAGATTGGCACATAATTGAAGTTAGGAACCTAAATGGGGAACAGTAAGAAGTGGTAACTGAGCCTTGTATTAGTGTGTGTTTTTGGCACACTTGTCATACCCTTTGCACATGCTTATAATTTAATTGTACTGCTTAATCTTTAGTTTATGTTTGCATTCACTCAGCCATATATAATTAGATTACCTTTTTGTCCAGGTTTATATATAGACTTGTCTGTTTGGATAAAAGTTCCGTTCTGTTTTCTACGGATGGCCACGGATTTGCTGCTGAGTTGATCAGAGGAATCCCCTGAGGTCAGTCCCCGTATTTCAATTTTTACTATCTCTTCGGTACCAGAGGGGGAAGGTACCTTAGACATAAAACACAATGAATATATAGCAAAGTTAAGGGAAAAGGGAAATATGTTTTATTTAAATGGTGTTGGCAACTGGTGAAGCTATATGCAGTAGGATATTAACAAAATACATATATTGGTAAACAATACAAGTCCTGGCTCATGTAGTAATTATTATAGAATACAACACAGAGTGATTAAAGAAATACACTCACATGGGCGTCCGCAGTGGGGGGAAAGGGGGGGCACTTGCCCCCCCCTGGATTTTTCAGCTTGTTCTGATATTTTTCGTGTGATTGAAAATGAACTGCAATACCGGCGCCGGCCAGTAGGTGGCGCTGTGTATGGAGAGAGACAGGGATAGGAAGCTGCATCTTATCCCTGCTTCTCTGCTGATTGAAACCGCAGGGGAGCAACACATGCAGCCAGAGACAGCCTACAGATCAGGTAAGTGGGGGGAGGGTTTGAGATAGCCTATAGATTTGGGGGGGCAGCAGCCTATAGATTTTTTTGGGGGGAGGGGGCAGCAGCCTATAGATTTTTTTTGGGGGGGCAGCAGCCTATAGATTTTGGGGGGGCAGCAGCCTATAGATAAGGGAAGTGAGCATAGGCGTGCACAGCCTATTGCATTAGGGTGTGCACCCTAAAGCACAAACACGCCATGTGTATATGTATGTGTGTGTATGTATATATATATATATATATATATATACATACATACATACACACATATATATATATATATATATATATACACACATATACATATATACACATATACACATACATATTATATATATATATACATATATGTTATATATATATATACATATATGTTATATATATATATACATGTATACACACACACACTGCTGTGTGTGTGTGTGAGGGTGCTGTTAGTGTGCTGTGTGTGAGGGTGCTGTTTGTGAGGGAACTGGTAGTGTGCTGTGTCTGTGTGTGTGTGTGTGAGAGGGTGTTTGTGTGTGCGTGTTTGTTCGGGTCCTGTTAGTGTGCTGTTTGTGTGCGGGTGTTGTGTGTTTGTCAGGGTGCTGTTTGTATGAGAGTGTGCTGTTTGTGTGTGGGTGCTGTGCGGGTGTTGTGTGTGGGTTTTGTGTGTTTGTGAGGATGCTGTTAGTGTGCTGGGTGTGTGTGGGTGCTGTGTGTGCGAGGGTGATGTATGTGTGTGGGTGCTGTTTGTGGGCTGTGTGTGCTGTGTGTAGGTGCTGTGTGTGTGTGTGTGCTGGATGTTTGGGTGGAGGTGGGGGCAGATTAGTTAATATCCCAGTCCTGCTGCCTTCCCAGTCCTGCTGCCTTCCCTCGGATAGCGTCGGCTCTGCATGAGCCGACCGGGGAGATCCAGAGATCTCCCCTGCCGGTGTCAATCCATTGGCGTGCCCATGCACACCCAACACACCCCGTGCACACACCTATGGAATGGAGGGATGGGGGAGACAGCCTACATGAAGAGTCAGCAAGGAGCAGGAAGGTAAAGTAAGAAAAGGAGAAGGAACAGAAATGAGCAGGAAGGGACATCAAGGAGCAGAAACGGGCAGCAAGGAGCTGGAAGGGACAGCAAGGAGCACAAAAGGTAAAGTAGGAGAAGGAGCACAAAGGAACAGAAATGAACAGGAAGGGTCAGCAAGGAGCTGGAAGGTAAAGCAGAAGGAGCAGAAAGGGTCAGAAATGAGCTGGAAGGGGCAGAAGGAGCACAAAGGTAAAATAGGAGAATGAGCAGGAAGGGCCTGCAAGGAGCAGGAAGGAGCACAAAGGTAAAGGAGCAGAAAGAGTCAGAAGGAGCACAAAGGTAAAGTAGGAGAAGGAGCAGAAAGGGACAGCAAGGAGCACAAAGATAAAGTAGAAAAGGGAGGAGAAAGGGTCTGCAAGGAGCAGAAAGGGATCAGAATGAGAAAGGAGCAGAAGGGCGCAAAATAAGCATAAAGTAGCAGAAAGGTCAAGGATAGAAAACAGTGTCAGAAGAAAAAAAAAAGACTGTCAAATGAAGGAGAGGAAAAGGAGATTGGAGCAGGAAGGACAAATGAAGTGAATCCTCCACTTTATCCTGGACACCACATCATAAGGCTTTGGTACCTGGGCCAGGCAGGGAAATGCTGGACCTTCTCATCTCCAAAGGTAAAAAAATATCAGTATTAATGTGTTCACTTTTATTTACTGAGTGTCAGGAAGCACAGAGTGCCGTTGGGTAGGGGTGTTGCTGATTGGCTAGAGCAGTCAGCTGGCACTCTAAGCCAATCAGTAGCTCCCCATTCATAAAAAAAAGGAAAAATATTTTATGAACCGGGAACTAGCGATTGGCTTAGAGCGTCAACTGTCCACTCTAGCCAATCAGCGGCACCCATGCCTGACGTCAATCTGCACTTCCTGACACTCTGTTTCAGAAGCCAAATACCACTGAGCGACCTGGAGCTGGAGGAAGCCTTTGGGGGTAAACCATTTGAGAGTGATTTAACCCCTTAAAGGAAAGCGAGCACCCAGGGGCTTCCTGGCATCATAGCATTTTCATTTAGGTGATGTTGTTATGGTGACCAGAATGGTCCTTTAATTTGCTTAAAGGAACACTATAGTGTCAGGAATACAAACATATATTTTTGGCATAATTGTCATGACATCCATGCTTGGTACCTTTTTGACAGTGTCATGAAAGGGAAGGGGCATTGCCATTATCACATAAAGCCAGGGTGAATAGCGTTTTCACAACTATGGTGTCAGGAATATATGTTTGTATTGCAGGTATTGCAGTTCATTTTCAATCACACTAAAAATATCAGAACAAGCTGAAAAATCCAGGGGGGGGGGGCAAGTTCCCCCCTTTACCCCCCCTGCAGACGCCCATGTAAAGTATCTGAAATACAGTCATCAACAAGTATCATGGAATGAACGGGATTAATTTAATTATTATAGAATAAGGATAAATGAAAGGAAGGAGGAAATAATGTGGTCTTTGATGCAAATGCATTTACATGTTATTGCATAATCCTTTTTTTAATCTAATAGAGTTAGTTAGTGGCCTTATAATGGTAATAACATTCACCTGAAAGACATGACAGTGAAATGGACCCTGGCTCGCGTCCTGTACAGTATGAAGGTTAGTGGTTCCAGATTCGGACTCTAGGTTTACCGTCAAAGCGGAGTATTTACCAAGATTTCCATCCGTGTGAATGCAAAAGGTCCCATCAGATGGAAAATACAGAACAGATGGGACAAACAGACCAAAATATCTGCAAATACATTTTAGTTACATTTTATTTTATATAAATATAGGGTAATATAACATAAATAGTAATACTATACAAATATATATATTTGTGGTAAGGGCTCATGATAGTACAGAAGAAACAAACACTGATAAGTATAGGATGGTATTAAAAGAGCAAGTCGCTTGTGGTGTGCCGGAACCGACGATGAGGTAAGCCTGTAAATAAAGAGGGCAAAAATAGAAAATCAAATTTATTACATACCAGCAATATACGTACATTTAACCAGACATGTTTTGAAAAGCATTTCTTACTTCTTGTACCGGGTTAGGTATGTATCTAGAGTAAGCTGATGATTTCCAGCGCCCCAGTGACTTGATAACATGAACTGGGATGTTTGCACTGGATGCTGTGGAGGCCGCTCCTATGCGGAAGGAGTGGCCCGAATAGTTAGCTGATTTGAGGCCAAGCTGAGTAAGTAAGGACCTGACGTGTATCATGAAGGTGGTGGTAGTGAGTACCGAACCTTGTAGACTGAAAAGTGGTTGATGTGGTGATGTGTTGGTATGCTTGGTATATGAATCCAGTAGTTTGACAGGGCACCACCTGTTGTGAGTAGGATAGTACTTAACCTCTACTGGAGGTGCATGTTGACTGGTTTTGGAATGAGGCAGAGTCAGGGTATAAGAGTCCGTGTGTTTTGTTAAGTGTAAATGAAGTAGGATGTGAGTGGACTGTGTTGTGCTGATGGCGGTAAATTCTCTTGGTCTCAAGAAACCATAAAAAGCTACGTATGTGGCGGTTTTAATGACAAGATTTGTGCTGTTGGCAAAAGGTTTTAAATCTAGTAAGTTGGATAAGTCTTTAAAAATATGGAAATCTATGGGCAGTCTCTGGGCCGTACGTGGAGGTTTGGATCTCTGAATACCCCTAAGGATGTTCTTAATTTGGTAGGCGGACATGAAACTTGAATTGTTGAGTTGTAAAGTTAGCATGTGATGTTGGATGCCTGTCAGATATAGTTTGATTGTGTTGTATGATAATTTGAGTTTGAGGTGGCAAAAAGAAGCAAAGCCCAACAATGATGTCATGATTAAAGGTTGTAAGATGTTGTGTTCCGAAAGGAATCTTTTAAATAAAATGAAAGCTCTGTCGTAAGTTTTTCGGGTATTAGTAGACAGTGCTAATTGGGCCAATGTTCTGCTATGTTGCATGATAGCGTCTAGTCCATTACTAGATGGTGGAATAGTGGAGTGGTCGTGGCTGTGAGTATGGCTGACGGGAGTATTTGACGAAAGGCCTGGAAATTAAAACGAGACAAATTGTCAGCAGCCGTGTTACATACACCTGGAACATGAACACAAAACAAGAAGAAATTATGACATGCAGCCAACCAAGTGAGTTTTCTCAGGAATCTCATAATAGTTAGTGATTTGGATCGGCCTTTGTTAATAATGTGGCAAGTTGCTTGGTTGTCTGAGTAGCAACGTACTGGCGAACCTGCCCATAAATGCCCCCATGCCACGGCAGCCGCCACTATGGGATATATCTCAAACAGAGCTGAGGTAGTGGAAAAACCTTCCAGGTCCTTAACTTCTGAAGGCCAGCTACCCCAAAGCCATTCGTTACATAAATTGCTGCAAAACCTTTGGTAGACGCCGCGTCTGACCAGATGGTAGATGAGGAGTCAGACAATTTAGGGAGGAACATACTTTTACCATTCCAGGTGGTCAAAAAGTTTCTCCACATGAGTAGGTCTGCCGTGGCTGTGGTATCCAGGGATAACCTGTGTGCATCATGTCTGAAAAGTGT